TATGCCCTCATAAGCTATATTGATCTTAAACATACAGTGCTGATAGATCACTTTTTGGTCATAAGTTCATTCTCAGACTACTGATGATCTTTTTATGTATTGGATTCCCAGCCTTTCATAGCTATCAACATACTTCCAAAAATCGTGTGTTTATTTACATAAATAGAGGTCCAGGAAAGGGATTTTGAGGCTAGGATATTGACTGTCCAGTGCAGTCTGTGCAGATGAAACAAAACAAGAAATTGATTTCTCCAAGATCTTGCATGTATGACTCAGGCAATCCATACATTAGCCCAAAACCTAAATGGATGGTGACAGGAAAATAAAAAATAAAATGAAATCTTTGATTTTAGATCCAGCTGAACAACAAAATTCAGGCAAGAGCTAAAAATAAAATTAATTTGGCTCATCTACATGTGTTTTCACGTGTGTATTGATGGTACCCTCCACCATTAGTCCAAGAAATGTTAATGAACCCAAAAACTCTCTTTGATTTTTCTAAAATCTTAAATAATTTTAGCCGTCTTCATAAGTACTACTTTTTTGTTATTCACTGCCTTAGATCGCTTTACAGATTTTTTTCATTCACAGCCATTAATAGCATGCCAAAATCCATGGATTCCCACTGCAGAAGGTGCTTGATGAGGGTAGGTGTTTAGTTACCTGGTGGCTGCACCACGGCAGCTCACAGCAGCTCTCCTGCCCCATTACTCACATGCTGGGTGCAGTTACACCAGCACTGTGGAAGCCCTGGATGCTCTGGCAAGACAATAGGAAATGGGCCCTTTTTATGGGTTACATGAAAAATGCCTGATATCTGCCAGGTCTACGCTGAAATTGGTCTTGAGTCTCACAGACTTTCTGCCATCTAATCAGAAAGGGAAAACAGAGGCAACACCTTACATCCATTTTAGGGCTACCCCTCTGAAATACTACAAACACTTTTAAACAGATTAAATTGGTAGTCTTTATGAAACTCATCTGACTCCCCAGGACCTCTCTGCCCAGCTTATAGAGGCTACGAGTTATAACAGTCTCCAGGTTATTCTTCTCTTCCCAAGCATGAGAAATCACCAACAGGCAAACGAAGAACAAAGGGAAGCAGAGCCATAGCGATCCTGGGAAAGTGAAAGCCCTCCAATAATTTTACTCATAAGTATATTACATTTAGGAAAGCTTCTTTTTCTTCTCTCCTTATTTTCTTTCTTCCCTCCTTATTTTCTTTCTTCTCTTCTCTTTTTGACTTGATGGAATTTTACTGAAGAACAGGGGATCATGGCAATTTCCAACAGGAAGGGCTTTTTCTTTTTTCTCCTTTTGTTTTGTCTGTTAAATTTCACAAAGATTTTCCAGATCAATAGACCTAATCTGTGCTAATTAAGCCATTAATGTGGGTGGTAAATGAGGCTTAGTCAAATGATAAATAAGAGCCCGTGTCCTGCCGAATTTCACACTGTCCCCCACACCTCAAAGCCATCGCAAGGTTATAGCAATCTGATTATTGATTGACTCTAGAACTCTTCATTATACTTAATACTTTATGGACTACTTCAAAACCATGCAGTACTGACTGAGTAGAGATCATTAAAGAATACCATCTGGTAGAGTTGACATGCGTATTAGCCTTTGAGGAATTACAGGATTTTGCCTGGACAGTACTTGCAAGGATTTTATTCACATCATAGAAACTTGAGCTTCCTGAGCCCTTTTTCCAGAAAAGTAAAGTAGTGGAAATGGTGCAGCTTTCCTCAACGCTTGCACTCCGTGTTGAGTCTGAAACTCAGCATCAGGAAGATGTCTATCTTTAAGTCCCTGTGCATCACAGCCAGCCTCAATGTTTCGCCTTGCTGCAACCCTTTCCAATGGCTTAAGCTTCAGCACAGTTTGAGGGGGCTGGAATTTTTTCTTTGCTTTCAGTCTGGCCAGTTGTCGTGGTTTAACCCCAGCCAGTAACTAAGCACCACGCAGCCGCTCACCCACTCCCCCACACCCAGTGGAATGGGGGAGAGAATCGGAAAAAAAAAAAAAAGTTAAACTTGTGGGTTGAGATAAGAACAGTTTAATAGAACAGAAAGGAAGAAACTCATAATGATAATAGTAACAATAATAAAATGAGAATAATAATAAAAGGATTGGAATATACAAAACAAGTGATGCACAATGCAATTGCTCACCACTCGCTGACTGATGCCCAGTTAGTTCCCGAGCAGCGATCCCCCCCCAGGCCAGCTCCCCCCAGTTCATATACTGGGCATGACATCACATGGTATGGAATACCCCTCTGGCCAGTTTGAGTCAGCTGTCCTGGCTGTGTCCCCTCCCAACTGCTTGTGCCCCTCCAACCTTCTTGCTGGCTGGGCATGAGAAGCTGAAAAATCCTTGACTTAGTCTAAACACTGCTTACCAACAACTGAAAACTATCAGTGTGTTATCAACATTCTTCTCATACTGAATCCAAAACAGAACACCATACCACCTACTAGAAAGAAAATTAACCCTATCCCAGCCGAAACCAGGACACCAGTTTCACAAGACTCTTGTGAAACAACAGGCTTGTTTGTCTCCATAGCCCATACCCGACTGATAGCGTGGCTGTAACGACAGCTTTAGCGTGTGGACATGTCTGCCAGAGACTGGGCAAAACAGAAGGTAAAATCTGTACTGCCTTATTTGTGCTGGTTATAATTCTGTGCCAAAGCCAAATATTAGCCCACAGAGAAATTTTTAAACAATAGTGTTAGAATTACTGGTTATTTTCCTTCAGTTGCTCCTCACAGCCACTCCCATGGGATTCTACCATTTAAATGCAGATGTCTGCATCTGACCTTGCTGTTTAAATGCCGTTATGGGACAATGGAGACAAACACACCCTTCTGACTTTTTCTTTCATTCCAAAGTAGACATCTAAAACAGGTCAGATGACTCATGTCTTAGAATAAGCACTTGCCTATTTGTAGGCACCTATTGACTCTTAAAATGTACCTAGGGACCAGCTCAGACATAAGCACTCACAACACAGGCTTCTGAAATCAGCTGAAATGAATCCCCTTCTGCAGATCTGTATGCCGTTGAAACAAGTATTTTCAAGTTTAAGAGTCTATTCGTACAAACAGGCTGCCTTCCCTCTGCCTAGTACATGATGGCTTCGTCGCCCACCCCAAGGTCGACTTTCTCGGGCTGTTGAAAAGCATAGATAGCCTTGGCTCTGGGGGCTGGAGGGCAGGCAGTGCAGGAGCACGCTCGTCCAGCCTGGAGAGTGAATTGTTTTATCTCCAGGGGAACGGGACATCCTGAGTTTTATATCACCCCTAAAATTCCCAAAGAAAATAATACACCTGATGCATGAAACCTAGTGGAACAATAATTCTAGGTTTTTAACTTTGCAAAAAGCCAAAGTTAAGCAAGTGATTACAGTATCAAACATTTGCAAATAGAGAAGAAAATCCATTATCCACACTCCTCATATGTTATGTTGCCTTGTCCTCAAAAGCTGTCTAATTTCTTCCTTTTATTAAAAATGATGTTTTCTCCTTTGCTGCTTCAGCACCATTGCTAGGTTGGAGTTGGTCCCTCTCTCCTAACATATCAGTACATTTTTTAATTTGCTTTTTCTGTCATTGTCCTTAATTACAACATTATTTTTACTTGAAAAGCTTTCTTACACATTTCTCACAACTGTCTAGATAATATTTCACAAAAAATACCTATCAACATATTAGATTCGTGAGATGGGAGTCAGCTTAAGACTAAACCACAAAAAGTTTTGTACCTACTTGGGAGCTAGGCATTGCATCCAATACAAATCTTGTTAATATAGTTAATGGAACCTCAAGAGTGACTCAGATAGCAGTCAGACTACTTCAAGGTGAGGTGTAGCCCCTTCTAAATCCTACCTATATCATCTATCAGGTGTCAGGCAGCGCTTTTCCTCTGTATGTGCACACTTTGGTTTGGCAGGAGCCCATGAGAATAATGTAGCACAGACTCATGTGCATGCAAGCAGATGAAATGAAGGCAATCCTGTCTATTTTACAAAGCCCTGGTACTCCTTATGGCACTCTTTCTTCTGTAGTATCTAAATTAGTTGCAAAATCCCATCTGTGGATCTTCACAGAGACAAGCCCTGAACCGAGTAAAAATAAAATCATAATTTTAAACTTTGCTAAGCCTAAGTCATATTTAGAATGTACCAGAGCCCTTATGTGGTACCACGTATGTGACAGTGACCTAAAAAAGAGAAATGTCCAGGAATTATTCATGCAGTAGATTGAAGAACCCTTCCCTCTCTCCTCTTGCACTCTCGTAGAGAAGAGGACAGTGATGCATTGGGGCTGCACACCTACACCCAAGTCATGGTCCATATAGTGCCATTTGTTTCTCATTGCAAATTTCTCTGCTTTTTAAATGTCACCATGAGGAAACAGCACTGTCCTAACAGGAGTGGAGGGAGGATAAGTGTTTAAAATATGATGCTGTGAGATTTGTGTTCAGGGAAAGGATAAGGGTCAGAAAATAGCTCAGAGCTAGACGTCAGGCTGTGAATAAACTAGACTATGGAGGTTATGCACAGAAGGACGATCAACCAAAATGTGTATATTCTGAGGATAAAAATTGTTCAATTTAAGTAGCCTGTGGATTTGCCCTGCAGCAGCATGTTAGGGCCTTAACAATAGGAGAAGCGAAAGAATTGCATCTTAAATTTCTGCACTATCCTTGGAAACAGCCTTGCTATCAAATCAATAAATGAAGTCTTATTGCCCATCATTGAAAAAGCCCAATTTCAGCCAAGAGAATTGAAACATGTGGCAGGGGAGGGAGGGAAAGGAAAAAAGTGGTCTCCACACTTTAAAGTTATGAGGGACTTTGGAATGGTTCAGATGAGAGTATTACCAGAGAGAAGTGTTGAACCCAATCTGTCTCTATGTGAAGCATTTTATCAAGCTTTAGTACTTGACGTGTTGCTTGTCAGCTTCAATGTCTTCTCTTTCTTCTCTCGTCAGGAGGCCAAGAAGACTGCATCCTTTCTTATGAACCTGTCACCAGACAGGAAAGTAAGTTTCATCTGCTGTTCTGTCACTGTTCCTTATATTTTTCATTTTACATTTTGGGGGCCAGCAGAGCAGTAAGCCTTGCTGTACCAGCCCCAGATTCTCTGTGGCTCCTTTTTCTTGGCCACTCGGTCTATCGCATACAAAAGAAATGATGTAAGGGTCTCCCTCGCTAGCCCCCACTTCCTAACATTCTCAGGGCTCTCCCCAGTAGCCTCTCATGGCCTTTACTAATAAATATGTTCATCAGTCTACAAAATATTGATGCAGATTTTCTAGATTTACTGCAATATTGTTACATGGGAAGCCTTTATTATTTTCCTTCGAATGTGATATGTGCCTCTAAGCAGGGTAGATGAACCTATGGGAAGACAACTGAAAATGAGAGCGTACCCACCTGATTTAATGGGCGATGCACTCATTTAAGTGAGGAGAAAAAAAAATCCTATAATATCCTTTCCATGCCTCATGACAGAGTCCTTCTGCAAGCATTTGGGAGTGACCTTGTTGAGCAATAGCAAATATATACACTTCCACATAGTCATCTGACTACATGTGCATGCACCATCACAGAGCTCTGCAAAATGAGTGGTACTCGTTCCTTTTTCCTTATCCATGTCAATAAATAAACTATTCATCAATAAAATGTACACCTAAGTTTTCACTTCATACATAAAGGCAACAACTCTGGTTAGTGCATCTTTGGGAAGATTTACTGTTATTGCCAGTAAGATTATCAAAATGTGCCTTTCTTTTTGTTGTTCAGTTAATTACACCAGGCCGGTTATTATTCTGGGTCCTATGAAAGATCGGATCAACGATGACTTGATATCTGAATTCCCTGATAAGTTTGGGTCATGTGTACCACGTAAGTATGATTTTACTCCTTCACTGCAGCTAAGTGAACTGTAGTGCTTGGTGCCACACATTAAGTGAATTGCTGTGAATGCAGCATCCGTGAACTATTTGTAATTGAGTTTCTCAAAAGCCATTTTTCCATTGGACAAAAAAGGGGAAAAGAACAAACAAACAAAAAGATTGTGAAAGTCTGGAAAGAATTTCTCAGAATTGTCTCAAAAGCTGTAGCATCTTTTTAAAAAAGGAGCCTTCTAGCCACTAACTCAGTTTACTCATCAATTAACCTGAGGTTTCTTAAATAAGATAAAAGTTTGAAATACTGGTAAAATGTAAAATGTTTCAACTCAATTGCACAGCATCCATCAATAAAAATATGGAGAAATCTGTGATTTGTCAGAGGTCTAGACTGTCTAATCTGAAAGCAATATTGGACCCTGAATTAAGCAGAATGTTTATATCTTGGATCATTAGAGCTTGCTGAGTGTTTATTTCAGACCCCGATTGGAGTCTTACTTCATTTTAAACTGTTGTCTCTGCAAATACACCAGCTTAAAACTGCTAGAGATGAGATCAGAATCAGCCTTATAATTAAGACTACATTAAATTGATGAGATTGTGATTCATTTTATCACTGTAATAGGATTAGTTTTACAATCTGGAATGCATTTTGTATTTGGGGTTTGTGTGTGATCCTGCCGAAAAAAGTGGAATTCTGGTGTTGATTGGAAGTCAACATCAGAAGGCATTACTTTGAAAAGACAGCTTTATTGTCATAACTCCATTGAAAACAGTATGTAGTAGCCAAGGATCTGCTCCCAGGTGTGAGGCACCTCCACTTACAGCAGACCCAGCATTGTCCACTGAGCGAACCATAATTGCAGCATTTTTTGCATGAAATGTTTTTACAGACTTCTTGATCTTCTGTCTTTTGTTTCATGCAGATACCACACGGCCAAAGCGTGACTATGAAGTGGATGGGAGAGATTATCATTTTGTCATTTCAAGAGAACAAATGGAAAAAGATATCCAAGAGCACAAATTTATAGAAGCTGGGCAGTACAACGATAATTTATATGGAACTAGTGTCCAGTCTGTGAGATTCGTGGCAGAAAGGGTAGGTTGACACTGGTTTTATTGACCATGCAACATGACCTGTTTTGTTTCCACACTGTATCTCAGACATGACTCTTCTGCCAAAAATATAAAATATCTGCAAAACAGCATGCTAATACTTATAGGCTTTATAATGACTCCACAAGTGGAGTCTCTGACTTTGAATGACAACATCCTTGGCACTTTCTGTACCTGGATGTAGTGCCATCAATTCAGGAAACTAACACAGCGCCTCAGGTATGCCCCCAAACATCCTTCCCTCTTCCCTCTGTAAGACAGGTAAATAAACTTATCTCACTTTCACAGAGGCAAAAGAATGACGCACAGAAAGATTAAATTACTTGCCTCGGGTGACATAAGGAGTCTTTGACACAAACAAGAACTGAATTAACCAGTAAAAACGTAGATATCCTATTACTTTTATGAATTGATTTTCCTCATCTCTGAAGAAAATCCTCTCCCCCCTGCAAAGTTCATCCCAGTAAAAATAAGTTCCCATATCTCCAGTGGCTATTTTATATTAGCACCAAAGCAAAGGAAAGAGCGCAGAGGAGTGGAGCGCGTGCCCTGGGGTCCCCGTTCCCTGGTGTGCCAGCAATGGCCCCGTTCCAGGGCACTGTGTTGCGGAATTGCTTCCCATCTTTTGGCTGATCTGCAGCAAACTCTGCAAAAACAAACACATCCTCATCTGTTTCCAACAGGGCAAGCACTGTATACTCGATGTGTCAGGAAATGCTATCAAACGACTACAAGTTGCACAACTCTATCCCATCGCTATCTTCATTAAGCCCAAGTCATGGGAGCCTCTGATGTAAGTATAAACTCCTTCAAGCGTTTTATTTTCAGGGTACAGTCTCAGGTGGCACAACACAGGTCTTGAGTCTACATTTTGCCTCTCCCCTAAAATCAGTAATAACAAAAGGAAGTGAGAACAGTGGCGACTTGCTCTCCTTGCCTGCCACCCACGGCATCCCCGTATCTCAAGGAACAAGTCAAAGCTGCCTTTGAACTTTTCACAGTGGGACATGTGGGCTTACGTGCTGGACCGTGAAGGACTCCCTGCCAGTGCTCGGTGTACTTGTTCCAACCTGTGCAGCAAGTTCACCAAGGACTCATGCGGCATGGCTTGTCCCATCCAGCCTTGGGTGCTCTTGGGGTGTAGGGTCTGGTCACAGGGGCAAACCAGAGGGTAAACCTGTGTCAGATTTGCAGCGTGTGCCTCTTGGTCAGCCCTTCATTTCCTTGAAGGTCTGTAAGAGGATAGGCAAAGATCCACGGGACTGGAGAGCGACAAACATAACACTTGAAGAAGGAAAGAAAAGGCACCAACTTCATGTTGTCACCAGGCAACCTAATTTCAATACTCAGAAAAACACTGGGATCTAGCGAACAGTTAAACAACTCAAGTATAATAACTGAGAGGGTAAAAAGGTTCTAAGAGGCAGCCAATGTATGTGCATCAAGAGAAAATCAAATCAATCTTATTTCCTTCTTTCATGAGATGGATATCAGTAATTGTATTGCATCTTGATTTTTATTCTGGCTCCCTGGGACATTCTCAGTAGCAGAATATTTCCTGAGCTGTGTCCCTATTTGGGACTACTTGTTATTTCCATGAATTACTTGTATGATGAATTGGGCAATACTTTTGCAAAGTTTGTGAATAACTCAAGGCTGAGCTGCCAAGCACTTTAGAGGATAAGATTAAAACTCAGTTGTCGTGGTTTAACCCCAGCCAGTAACTAAGCCCCACAGAGCCGCTCACTAGCTCTCTCCCCCGCGTTGGGATGGGGGAGAGAATCGGAAGAGTAAAAGTGAGAAACTCATGGGCTGAGATAAAGACAGTTTAACAGATAAAGCAAAAGCCGTGCACGCAAGCAAAACAAAACGAGGAATCCATTCCCCACTCCCCACGGGTAGGCAGGAGTTCAGCCATCCCCAGGGCAGCCGGGCTCCATCACGCCTAACGGGGACTTGGGAAGACAAACGCCATCACTCCCAATGTCCCCCCTTCCTTCTTCTTCCCCAGCTTTATCTGCCGACCGTGACGTCCTACGGTCTGGGATATCCCTTGGGTCAGTTGGGGTCGGCTGTCCCGGCTGTGTCCCCCCCAACTCCTTGTGCCCCCCCAGCCTCCTCGCTGGTGGGGTGGGGGGAGAAGCAGAAAAGCCCTTGGCTCTGGGTAAGCCCTGCTCAGCAGGAATGAAAACATCCCTGGGTTATCAGCACTGTTTTCAGCACAGATCCAAACCATAGCCCCATACTAGCTACTGTGAAGAAAATTAACTCTATCCCAGCCAAAACCAGCACATCAATGTAAAATCAGTAAGATGAAATTCAGCACAAAGGAGAGAAAATTAAATGCGTGAGCACAAGCAGGGAATAATTAAGCTATAGCACTGCAGAAAAGCATCTGGTGGTTGGGATGGATCACACAGGAATATGAATGGATGGATAATGTGGTTGCAAAAAAAGCAACTGCCACTGTGGGCTGTATTAATATCAGTGTTGTGTAAGGACACAATAGACAGTCATTTTGTTGTACTGGGTATGGATGAGGCCTCAGCTGGAGCACTGGCCTGGTGCTGGGTTCCACCCTAGAAGTGGAGGAGGAACAGGGGTTATCTAGTGTCAATGAGAGAAGGCTGAGGAGGAAATATGGAAGTGATCTTCATACTGGTTAAAGCTCAGGATAAAACACATTGTGATCAATTGTTTTCCATGTACGCTTCAGGTAATGCAAGAGTTATCAGCTTAATTTGCTGTGATAGGGATAAAATTTTGAACTCTGTGCCTTCCCCTCACCAAAGGCTCTGCAAATGCCAGGCGATGCCATGGGTATCTGTTACACAGCTAAAATCTAGGCAACCCCCCTCCTGTGACAGATGCCTGTCTGGTTACGGTAACGGTGTGCCCACAACCGTTGGGTGACAGAGCTGGAGAATGCTAACATGCCCCATCCCAGGAATGTGCATCCTCCCTGGCCCTGCCTTTTGGTGATAAGGTTGTTGCGTGTCCAGCCACATTACGGGGAATGATGCACAGTATGTGGTACTTGCACAGCCCCATCCTGACCAAAGCCATCTTGGGTTGGATGACTTCTTGACGTTTCTTCCAGCCCTACAATTCACTTATATTCTCATTATGTTGCTGTATAGAAGGCGAAGGGTAGTCTGATAGCCTACCTTCTGCACTGATTGGTTTAAGATAGATCTTAACCTACAGTTTTCCCATCCATAAAATATTTCCATTATTTGCTTAATGCTGACATTGCATCTGGAGTGATTAAAAAAAAAAAAAAGTAAATAAAAGTGGCCCTTACTTTGAAAAATACATTAGGCAGAACCAGAAATGTGGCAATAACATAAAGGCTTCATTGATTTGATGTAAGAACAGCAAATCCTTGAACAGATTGACTGAAAAGTGTTACGAAGATGCAAAACATTATGACAATCATCCTGTTATTAAACTACAGCAATGCTAATATTTCACTTAGGACAAAATAAGTTATGCAGAGCTAGCAGAATTTTCCTTACTGATATAAATCAAAAGTAAGTTATTCTTCAGTCTCCAAATATAAACCTGTTGACAGTATGGTAGGGACAAACAAAGTGAAATCCCTTATATCACTCTGAATTCCTTGTTCTGCAAATACTCTGTGGAAGACACCCTTGATTAGAAATCCAAACTTTCATGGGACAGCAGAAGTCCTTATATATCAGTACTAGTTTGGGAATTTTTTACTAATATGGCTTATATAAATTAATTATGTAACCACAATACAACTCCTGAAAAAAAAAAGAGAAAAACATAATTAATTCAGGCATTCTAAATTAGTTTATCCCCTGCAGCCTGCTCTCCACAAGTAATCTTTTTATCTAGTTAATCTATCTAATGTGTATTTATCTTATCAAACAGCACTCAAAATTTTCTAACAGAAATGAGAACTCTTGATATAAACAGTATTGTTCTTTTTAAAGAATTGTCTTGAGAATAATGACATAATTCTGAGCCCCTTGCTTGTAAGAATCATTTATTTTATTTAGCAATGTAGCTAAATCACTCAGGGTCTGACTAAACAAATAAATACTCTGATGTAAGCAGTAGTGAGTTGTAGAGTGTGCATAGATGAACCGATATAACCCCTTTCCAATACATACTATTATTTTAGTATGAAGAAGTTTAACATGGTAAACCAGTGCTCTATGGGAACAGAAAGAGGACATTTTTATGACAGCATAATGTAACTGCTCACTTGGTCTTTTTTATGTATGTAACTACTACAACACAAAAATTATAGGTTTATCTGCCATAACTATTACTCCTGTTCATACAGGTGAGTTGAAAGTTAGTGTAATAGCAAAGTAAAACCACAAAAGACAAAAAAATTGCTCATCAGAAGATGCAGAGAAACAAAGTCAAAAGATTTAACTTGCAGCAAAACCAGCACTTAAAGTTGAAGTCTAATTCTCATTTACATATATGCTCCTTTGCACTCATCTGACAGCGAAGGGAGCATAAATTAAGCTTGCACCTGCACTTGAAACTTGGTTATCGCTGGTTCTCTGGAAATACCCTACTAACACTAATGACCACAGCAATGGAAGACCATAAGGGGCTGTTGGATGTAAAACCAACCAGAACACATGGCCTGAGCTGGATGTCTCCTGATCCTGCTTTCTTCAATTAAATTCAGTCCTAGCAATCAAATTGCTGTAAACAAACTGCTCTGTCATCCTGCCCTTCCTTCCTTCCATCCTTCCTTCCTTCCTTCCTTCCCCACCTCTACGTGACTCCACCTCACAGGTTTAATCCCAGCAGCATCCCCATTGGTACCTCTCGATTGGCCTCTCTCTCTCTAGAAGAAGGAGGACGGTGGTGGGATCATGGGGATGAGAGCTGGAAATAATGAAGAGCCTGCCTGGGTGAGCTCTTCACTGGGAGAGGAGCAAAACCCTGGAAAATGTGCCTGGAGGGACAGCTCTTTGCAAGCATTTTGAATTCACCAGCTGTGCAGGTGCCTGGCTAGGAAAGAAAAAATTAGAAGTGACTATGGTTTGACAGCACTTTTAATTCATCATGAAAAATGGACATCATCCTCCCCCTTCTCCATCCTCTCTCCTGAAGGCACAGGATGGGAAGAGGCATGGATACAACTAGCACAGTTTTATACCCCAGGCAAATCTACAATCTGAACATGTAATGCAAATTTCTGCTTATTTCAAAGTACTTACTATTTTAAGTGCTTGTTTATATTTTCATTTGTATTTTCTCCTCTGATATTCAAAGATCTTGAGGAAGACTTCTCAGAAATTTACCAGAAATAGATCTGGAAGGAGGAGGATGTTGTTAGCGCTAGAATATTGGCTGAGTGTCCTTAAGATGAAAATGTTAATTTGCATAAGAATTTGCAATGGTATGTCCCACTTCAAGACAGAGTTTTGGTTCAGTCACCGAAAGATATGTTCAAGTAGGCATAGCTGATGAGAAGCTCACCTGAACTCAATTAGATAGCAATCTTTCTAATAAATAGAATTAGTAGTATTACAAATTTAGCAGCATGGCACAGATTGGCACATATTAAACCTATTTATATAATCCACAAATAACTGTCATAAATTATATAAAGAAATCTTTCTTATCCTTCATTTTATACACCTGCTTTCTGCATTGCATTGGTACTGCCAGAGAGATTTTTCTAAGCAGTGTTCCCAGCTATACGGTTAGTTACACAGATAGACAGCTTTAAGTCATTTCTAGAAATACCTTTTTGCATCCTGGACACCTTAGAGGGTGTTTTTCAAAAGCCAGGAAGGAGTTAGCTGTAGCAAGTTCATACTGTTGTGCACTTCATAGATCATTTTTTAATGCACCATCATGCGCATAATTTCCTACATGCATCACCCATGTCATACAGTACACAGTCCGTTACCACATAATCATATGATTCAGTGCAAGGCATTAGATCAGATTTATGCAGAACACAAGGTGCTCCCTTCTCTTGCTTTCCTAGTTGCCTCAGAAAATTTCTATCATGTTTTAAGAAAAACAAATCCATGCAGTGAAAAAACGCTAGAACAAAGCAAACTCTATTATTGCTAGTGAATTTGGATATCTGGAGGCATGTATGTGTAGGGCAGTGAATAAGAACAAGTTGACATGCTGGCGGGAAGGGATGCCATCCAGAGGGACCTGGACAGGCTTGAGAGGTGAGGCTGTGTGAAACCTCAGGAAGTTCAACAAGGCCAAGTGCAAGGTCCTGCAGATGGGTCAGGGCAATCCCAAGCACAGATACAGGCTGGGCAATGAGTGGATTGAGAGCAGCCCTGAGGAGAAGGACTTGAGGGTATTAGTGGATGAAAAAAACTGAATGTGAGCTGGCAACGTGTGCTCGCAGCCCAGAAAGTCAACCGTGTCCTGGGCTGTATCAAAAGCAGCGTGGCCAGCAGGTCGAGGGAGGGGATTCTCCCCTCTACTCCATTCTGCTGAAACCCCACCTGGAGTAGTACCTTCAGCTCAGGGGCCCCCAACATAAGAAGGACATGGACCTGTTGGAGCAGGTCCAGAGCAGGGCCACAAAGGTGATCAGGGGGCTGGAGCACCTCTCCTGTGAAGACAGGCTGAGAGAGTTGGGGTTGTTCAGCCTGGAGAAGAGAAGGCTCCAGGAGACCTTATAGCAGCCTTCCAGTACCTAAAGGGGACCTACAGGAAAGATGGGGAGGGACTTTTTACAAGGGCATGTAGGGGTAGGACAAGGGGTAATGGCTTTAAACTGAAAAAAGGTGGATTTGGATTAGATGTAAGGAAGAAGTTCTTCACTGTGAGGGTGGTGAGGCACTGGAACAGGTTGCTCAGAGAGAAGTTGTGGCTGCCCCATCCCTGGCAGTGTTCAAGGCCAGGTTGGATGGGGCTTTGAGCAACCTGGTCTAGTGGAAGGTGTCCCTGCCCATGGCAGGGGGGTTGGAACTGGATGATATTTAACATCCCTTCTAACTCAAACCATTCTGTGATTCTATGATTGATTCTTTGCAAGTGTACAGTGGTATTAAAAGCTGAGCATGGATGGGCAAGACAACTCATTTCTTAAAGTTATTAAATAATGCCTCTGTTGAAACAGAAATGCTCCAGCAAATAACAAAACATTGGAAATAACAATGTTACTGACACTGTCTATGTTTTTACATTTATTGGTACCCGGTACGTTTTAGAAGCTACAAGACACACTTGACTAGGAATCTCTCTAGTTAATCAGAAAGGAGTGGAACAGAGAACATAAATAAATAACTCATCTTATCTCTTCCATCCAGAAAGACTCAGTCTGATTTCTCATGATATCTGGAACTCATGCCCCCACCTGAACCAAGAATTCTCCCTGGAAGACATGCTGGGTCCTTCTGGGGCTTCCCTACAGGGTTTACAATGACTCTGGGATTCCTTCTACAGGGTCAGGAGTGTCAGTGTGTTGAATCCTGCCTTTAATCATGATTTCACTTCCACAGGCCCAGCCTCAGTCAAAACCCAGCTTCCATTTCAGCATTTTGGACAACCTTATTCAGCTGAGACAGCCAGCTGTGGGCCTGGGAGATAGAGAGGTTCCTGAAGGAGCTTCAGCTCTGGAAGCAGGAGAGCTCTGAGTGCTCAGACCTTGAGACCTCCTGGCTCCCAGATTTGCCCATGGGTTCCTGATGCCACCAGTCCATCTCAGCAGTTACCAGATTTGGGCCTCGTATTTTGTTTGGGAATGTAGAGTAGTGAACCCAAAATAAAAATTTAGTGGAGAAATGGGAAATAGTCTGGAAATGTAGGTTTATACTACATAAGAATGAAATTAAATTTAAAATCCTGAAAGTGCCCATGAACTGGCGGAAGAATTTCATCACTTGATTTTTGTACCTATCTCAATCCATCTGTGATTCAGTTGAACGGATCTTTTAGAAAGTTGTTCCATCAAGAATCTAAACTTTTTGATGACTTCATGTGTGTTTCTAGGGAAATGAATAAACGTCTTACAGAGGAGCAAGCGAAGAAAACCTATGATCGAGCAATTAAATTAGAACAAGAATTTGGAGAATATTTTACAGGTATGTTTTTATTAAAAACAATTTTTTTTCCCAAGAGATAGTCTTTTATTGCAAAACAACTGGATCAGCTCTGTCTCTGTTCGAGGCTGCATATCAGTATAGTGTGCCCACAGTAAGGACTCCTGGCTTGGGACTATTGTCTCCCTGAAACTCAAGGGCAGTTGAGGCATTCAATTCCTTGGAATTTTGATGCACTGAAGGAATAGTTTTGCATGAATTTGATTCCCTCTCTGACCCAAAACTGCTTTTAATGAAATCAGTACAGATGTTGCATCATTGCATTTGTACAGAGCAAAGAATTCCTCACTAGCCTCAAGGCAAGAACTCAAGCTACAGATCATGGGAGGGAAGGAGAAAGGCATCTTCTTCCTGAGCTGGAAAAGAGCAAGATTTAAGACTTGCTCTGGGCCCCAGCATTTCCTTTGGATGGGTTTAGGCAGCTCCCTACTCAGGGGCCTGATATTTGTGGATAACACTCAGAAGCCCCCAGTTGCCCCTCCACATGCTGACAGTGCACATACTCTGGACTGCAGGTCCAGATTTCTGCTGGGGGGGGGGGGGCAAGGAATTTAGGAGTATAGACACTGCGCTTTGTGTTACAGTTGCTTTATCTTCTGTCACTTTGGACCTGTTCTAGTTAACTTTTTCAGCCAAGAGTGAGTCTATTGTAACTAGGTCAGGAAAAGAATAGGCTGTAAATCTGCAGCTACTCACTGCTGAAGTAGCTTCTAAATCAAATGAAATGTAAAGCTTGAGTTGCAACAGTGGGAGCCTACCATGCTGCCCTCCTGTGGGACAGAGCTGCTGTTCTCTAAACCTAGCTCAGTCGTCTCACTACAAGCAGTGGGATGGGTCTCTGTCATGGGAAGGTGCCATTGGTTTCAACTTAGTTGCCATGTGCAGGGGTATGATTTTTCCATAATCAACAACATCACAGTGTGCTAGTATTCCTTCTCATTTATTTCATCAATATCTGACACTGGATGCTGTAGAATGTAACAATTAAAAGAAATATTGATATGTTCTTACTGCAGCTATTGTCCAAGGAGATAGCTTAGAAGATATATATAATCAATGCAAACTTGTAATTGAAGAACAATCTGGGCCTTTCATCTGGATTCCTTCAAAGGAAAAATTATAAATTAGCCACTGCACCTCTGATTACGACGGGAGAATATTTAGAAGAAAACTATAATATACTATTTGGAGGCTTTCCTGTTTTTGTTGCATTTATGTTCTTTGCAGTCAATGTGAATTTTGATGAATGTACAACACAAAGTGTTTGAAGCCATGAAGGACACTGATGGGTCAAAGGGTAGGAACAAAAAGACTTCTACCATATAAAGCAAATCTGTTGTGTGCTCAGAGCACCAGTTGTAGGCATAAACTTCTGACATGGAGACCCTCTGTCAAGGGGAGCTAGCCACCTCCTGTGCCCATGCGGACATTTTGATCGATTTCAATGGCTGAGCTCAGTGTGTTGATTGCTTTAAAGAGAAGTTCCCAGCTCTTGAACCTCATATAGGGCTTGATCCTGCAAGGCGCTCAGCACTTGACCCCAATTCCTACACAAGTAGCCCGTTGACTTGGAGTCACTTGTGATCCTTCCCTGTGCCGTTCAGTCCCATCAATTCCAGTAGCACTATTCATGTGCTCAAAGCTAAGCACGGGCTTAAACGTTTTGCTAGATCAGGGCCACATGCACCTTGCAAAATCAAGCTCAGAGTACTTGGTCCACTTCCTACTGAAGTCATTGGTGGGATGCTCTTTGACTTGACTGGGAGGTGGATCCTATTCTAAGCTTGTCATTGCACATTTGTAGTTGGTACACCTCGACTTCGGTAACTATGCACATCTTTTGATTTCTGAAACCAAGTCAAGCATTTCTTTTCTCCCCTTTGGAAACACTATTGCATCAGGAACTAGTAACAATATAGTTTATTTTAATGGAGTTTGGGGGTGGGAGAGGATGGAAGCATTTTACATCAGACACACATGCACACAAACACATTCCCATGTGGACACACACGTATGAGGATTCACAGCACCTATGTTGACAAGGAGGGATACAACTGGGAAAAGCTTTAAAATTTTTGATTGTCTATTTTATCATTTATATTGATAGAAGGCACTTAAAGATGGAATAATTTATAAAAATAAAAATATATTGATGTATAGAAACTAATTTCTATAGGTAAAAATGTTTTTGTGAGATATTTTGTAAAGATTAATTAAGTGAAAGATTAAATATTTACACCCTTGTGCGACTGTAAAATGTAAAGAGGACCATCAAGTTGCATTATCCCTTTTCCTGAACAGATTCTCTATTATTAATGACAAGCAAGATAATTCCTTAAATTGTAGTTGTCAGCTTGTTTTTCTCTCAATTAAATCCTCTCCCTTGCCTCTATTTAAGCATGATGAACTCCTGTGGAAAGATCTCTTGAACTGACTGCCCTGTAGGACCTTTTCTGAACGCAAAAGGATAATGCATCTTTAAATTGAAATGGGTGATTTTTCAGAAGCAAAATGTCAGTGCTTGAATGCAGTTAATAATTTCTCTCTTGGAGGGAGTCATACTTCACCCCCAAATGTTTTATGATTCCTCCTGTTTCTTTAAAGGAAATACCAAAAGCATTTGATCTTTCCTCTCTTTGTAGGAAACTACACCAACTAACTTGTATCTTCATTCATTTCACAGTCAACAAGGGTCTTAAAAGCAAAAACTGAGGCAATGGACATTTGTGAGGGATTTGGGGAAAGTCTGTGGAATTGCAGTTTGGGGTGCATGGAAGGGGAGAAGGACGTATTTTTTTCTCATTTCACATTGCCCTTCCTTTGTATACCGAAGCCATTCTTCACTCTGACACACAAGGGGACAACTGCAAGAGATATCGTGATAGTAAACTGAATTGCCTTTGCTGCTGCTGGACCAAGTTTTCTATAAAACCCACACTCTCCTGCCTGCTGCACCGCAGGAGTCCAATGCTTATTAGCTGGTGGCTACAGCAGCCCTAATGTTTAAGGACGTTTTAAGGGCAAATGCTAAATAGACTCCTCAGCTACTTGTCTATTTGAAGCTTACATTTCTACGCCCTGTCAAGCTGACAGGTATATCCAGCCAACCTCCGCAGAGAGCGTGACTGGCTGGATGTTTGTATTATAGCCACCAGCAGTGACAGGGTTAAAAATACGGGCATTTTAGTGGCCCCAAAGTGGCCTCACTTACTGCCCTACTATGGTAACTTTGAGAAGTTCACGCTTCTTTTACTACTATTTTTCTTGCCTGGCCAGCGCAGATTTATAAACAAGGGTTTCAGTTAAGTCTCCAAAAAAGCTTTGTAACCAGAAGGGCTAGAAACTTTTTTTTTACAAAATATACATGAACGAAAGCTTCGATTTTGGATAATTCTGCAGAAATCCACAGAGCGACCCCAGATCTTTGGAAGCCATGGATTTTTCCATGCTGGCAAAGTACTATTGCCCCAGGTTGGGAAATAGCCCACCAGACCTGAAAAACCAAGTATCCTAAAGCAGGAACTTCATTCTAATTTTCAGCTCTGTTTTTAAGCAATCAATCACATCTGCTTCTTTGTTTCTTAGTTCAGCATGCAGCCTTTTACGGTACTATCCTACTAGTAACTGTTTTGCTTTGTCATGTGCTGTGCTTTACGGTGAACAGTAACACTATGGCTGAGTACAATCAATTTTTCCATCAGTCCTTGGTTACTGTAGTAACATTATTTATTTTTCCCTGTCTGTTTGTGCTTCCAGTTTAGAGTTGCCATTGCACTTCTTTTTTTTTTTTTTTTTTTTAAATAAAACATATATTTAAAAACAAATCATCAAGAGAAGCAGTAAGAGGTCTTATTTCCCTTAGGACTCGTACTCCCATTTGTTTTGTGCGTTGACGTTTTGCGTTTCATGTTTCAGCATCCTCAGAGCTGCAGTTCATTTTTGCATTGCAGCTGTTCAGATCATACTGGGTGGCAGTGGGCGGAGGAAGAGAAACATAAGATTCATGCAAAATTACAGCTGGTGCAAAAAAAAAAAAAGTCCAAACTCACAACCCACAGCAGTTGGCGCCTGAGACCATATTGGTGCTAACACACCTTAGCGTAATCAGATTCCTTTTCTATCCATGTAGAAGACTTGCAAGCGTCTAAACATGAGACAAATGCAAATGCTGGACCCTTTAGGAAAAGTGCCAGATCACACCCCTGGTGCTATTTCTCATGTTCTGGCACAGTGTGTAGCACCGTAGGGTCTAAGCAGAACCAAAATTATCACAGCTTTTTGTCCACCCATGAATGATCACGACATCTTGCTAGCTTTGTGCAGATGTGCAATATTACAACCTATTTATTTCTCCTTGCCACAAAACATCTTCCATGCACTGACTCATTGAGAGCTTGCTAAGAGGGCTCAGTGAAACGGCACTCTTTACTGGTCTTAGTCTGACCATCGACCAGTGAAAGAGCCTCTTTCTTGCTTAATTCCCCCTTCCTACAGAGGTACCCTGTCCATGCTAGCGCTTTGTAATTTCTTTGGTAGTAAAGGCTGTTTCTAGATAAATATTCTGTGATGTAATTGTGTTTGTAGCTAGCATGGTTTGATGCTCCGGTGTGGACAGGGTCCTAGGAACCACCCTGTGAAAGTCAAGGATAAGAAATCTCTCCGTTGCACTGAAATTTCAAATCCTCATCCTGGAGAGCAGTGTGGAACCTGAGCTAATAACCACTACGAGCCAGCAAGAGTGTCCTAGTTATACAACGTCCACTTACCTATTTATATTAGTTTTCTGTGGATAATTTGTTGGTGTTACACCTTCACTGTTACTTGCTCATCAGCACTCAGTCAAATTGTATTTTTGGTTTGGTTTTCTTATATTTTAATTTTTGTTTTTCAAATTGTATCCCTGACCAGAGGATTCAGTGAGTGACAACACATGAGGCTATTTGTAGGAAAAACAGTGTTAACGAAAAAAGTCACAATCTTCTTTTTAAGCTGCAGATTTAAAGCCATAATATCTGCCGTGTTCACAGAAAGTGGTCTTTTATCCTTCACAGCTTTTAATCTCAACATTTTTTCTCTTGAACATTTTGTCTGCTATGTTATGCATGCGGTTCAGTGTGCAACTGCATTCATGTGCTCAGGCCCGTGCCTTGGTGTAATAAATGTATTTTCCAATTCCATTAAAAATCAGACATCTTGTCAATTAGTTCAGAAGTAAGAATAACGTCGTCATTATGTTAAAAAAAAGGTTCCCATTCTAGGGCACAAATCAGCATCAAAGCTAACAGCAAATAACATCTAAAATCTGTCCAGCATATAGCTAGCCTAGATCCTCAGCTGGTGTACATCACAGTCACTCCATTGATTTCAGTGGAGTCCATCCCATTTACACCACCTGAAGTTACACATCCGTCCTCCCCGTTACACCTAGTTTTTAGCATTACTGTAAAACACCAAGGCCACATGATTAAACAGCAGCTCAGCACTTCCCATCATTATTTACTGCTTATATTACTGTAGCACCCAGAGGGCCAAGTCATGGACCAAGATCCTTTCGAGGTAGGTGCTGTGAAATTGCTGAACAAAAAGACACCCCATGGGCCAAATGCTGTGGAGGGGTTTTCAGAAGGCTTCAGCCCCACTGACATCTCACCAAGAGCAATAGGAACCACTACCCCATTGGCCCTTTTGAGACTCTGTCTTTAAGGTGAGGAGCGTGAGACACGACCCATCATCCCTCACACCGTGTTAGCAGCTTACGCCGTCTGGCCCTGACCTATAGCGCAGGCAACTTGCCCTGGTGTAAAACAGCATTTCTGGGGATGGGTGGTAGCCAGCATCCTAGGCAAGATCTTTGGGGGGAAAAAAAAGAAAAAAAAAAAAAAAAAAAAAAAGGCAACACTGTTGGCTCTTAGTGGGATAGCAACCTTTTAATTTCTGGATTTGTGTTCCTAAATTTGAATTGGCCAGTCCGAATTTCCGAGTGCAGCAGCCTGTACTCAGCAGGCTGCTCCATCCGGCACGCTGGCCGGCGCGCGTCTCTTTAGCAGGATGTTTCTCAGTCCAGCTGTAGCGTGGGGTACTCAGAATCTGAACTGGAGTTTACAAAATACCCTGTCCAGCTTACACTCCTGTTATGTGTAAATACTCTGCGCATCCATTCCATTTGTGTAAAGAATAAAGCACACACAATTATAAAAATTAAGATGTATATTTCATACTAGCTGTGTCCTTGCTTATTTATTCCGGTCCAAGCTCTCAGCTGTGGTTCAGTTGTAAATGCTTGATAGAGTGTTTATAAATATGTCATGAATTTTATTATAAAATATTAATATTAAAGCATTTTTACACTTTATAGCAAATGGCTTCTTCACAAGGCATAATTTGTCTTTTTTCCTTAAAGCAGAATAGAAAAAGAGAATGAATATGCTCTTAATATGTCTTGAGACACTATCACATCTATCACACGAGACAGACATGAGTCTGGAAGTGGGATGGTGGTTTCAAAAATGACTGAGGATACAGAAACTTTTTTGCTTTCTTGCACTTTTTTTTTTTCTTTTTGACTTCCCATTGACATGGAAGATGCCACCAAGAAGATTCACTCTGATGAAGTATTGCCACTTTCTCCTTACCACACTTCTGCTGTGTATTGGGTATCATTAGCATCTTGGTGAAATATTTTATTAATTAAAGCATTGTTCCATGTTTCTGACATCACAGCACAGCCATTGGGATAAGGACTGTAATAATTACATGCTTGTGAGCAGCTTAGTGGAGCATAAACTCCGTTGTGCTATGAGGTCCCAACAGCCCAAGAACCTTGGGTTTTGGCCATCCCAGGAACGTCTTTGCAGATGGCTTGTGGGCTCCAGGCAGGCCACGTGAACATTGCCAGTCTCCAGCAGAGGCAGAAATGTGACAGGGACACTGCTTTCGACCCACAGACGGTGCTAGATTCAGTCTGCAGAGGACCACGGAGCCTCCATATGGCTCTGGGAGCCACAACTGACACTATAGGGAGAGAAACTCTGTCCACAGAGTTTTACATGCATAATCACAAGGATGGTTAATCATCTAAACATTCATTGTGATGCCTTCGACTTCTCCAATAAATTCAGAAGAGATAGAGAATCCAAACAACATTTCACATTGATATGCAGATGA